TATATATACACTTTACCAAATTTACATAGTTAAGCAGATACATGTCCATTCGCTGTAACTATTCATACTCGACTCTCCCGCATGTCATATATTATATTCACTTCATGAAAGTTTTCGACACTTTCTACATGTAACACCCATCAAATATCATTTACCTCTAGTCCACAAAACTACTTGTACATTAAACTAACAGTCATTAAGACTGTCTGTTATAGTTCATCAAACAATTAACCTTCAAGTATTCAACAACGACGACCTTATCAATTTACCTACGTAAATCTGATTACAGATTAGGAAAATTAACGAAATTAAGGTTCCATGACACAATGAATGATAGACAAGTCATGCAACTTAACGTTTTATCCTAATAAATATACATTTGTCCCCGACAACGATTACATACTATGAGCAAGTAGAAAAGGATATGGTATATATCAATTCATAACACAATATAAAAATATGCTTTTATTGCCGTCCTTTATCTCAAGTCACACTGACACTTCAACATAGGGCAAACATCTAACTCATCACAAGTTCAGATGTCACGATACAGTAATAGTTGGATTGATTGAAACTATTATTTTACTACTTACTAGTAGTTGGTTTTTTTTTTTGGTAATTTGGTTGATTATTACTTAGTAAGGTTTAGTATGTTAAATGATACCAGATATTGTGCACACAGTTACATTCGTTTTTTCTTTATTTCATATTTGGAATATGGAGGAGAAGCTCTTTGTCTGTTGTTCATTCAACCGATTGGATAAGTGATACTTATAGCGTATTTATGTGAAGAACTGACATCATGATCAACTGAAGTTATTGAAGAGGCCTAAATACATACGATCGCGTGAAAAACTGCAATTTAGAACTTTTGCTGACAAATTATCTTCATCACTGTTTATATTTACATTTGACATATTGTTAGCTTACTATTTCACCGACGTAATTTTTTTCAAATACATTGTATCAACTACAAGAATAGTATTTATTGTCCGACCGAAGTCCATTTAGACTGCATAGAGATATTTTGTCCAGTAACACAATTAGACAACGATTTTAGCGGACATTCCTTTCAATCAGGCGTGGCTAGCAGCATTATAATTTCATTGTTCAAGATTGATGGCATCGCTTGTCCGTATTAATTGCTATTTCAGATGTTTCGTTTCAGAAAGCGAAGTAACTATAAATTTAAAAGCTACAAAGACAGATATTTTCCGACAGGGTATTAATTTCATTGTTCAGGATTGATGACATCGCTTTTTCGTATAAATTGCTATTCCAGCTGCTGAGTGTAAGACGAAACCTATAAACGCAAAGCATAATGATTCGTTTTTCGTTGAAGAAATATCGGAAACCCAGTTTCCCGGAACTATTTTATAAGCAAGCTTAAAACAATACTCATGGCATTAGGATATTGTGAAAAGGATTATAGCGGACATTCCTTTCGATCAGGTGCGGCCACTAGCGCTAGTTCTAAAGGTATTGAGAACAGCAGGATACAATCACTGGGACTTTGGAAATCAGATTGTTTTAAACGCTACAGTAGAACATTTAAATCGGATATTAAATCCGCGATCGGTTATGACTTTGTAACATGTCCTACATTCTAGCCTTGTGTCTTTTCTTTTCACGTTGATCTCAATATTGTGGTTAAGGATTTTTATATTGACATTAATTTTCTCTAGATCAACTTTAATTTTAACAAGACACAAGGCTTCATTAGGCACAACATCTTCAAATTTTGGGGTTACTCAATATGCAACTTGGGCAGGCAACATAACGTTACATATTTCGTTTTGGGCTATGATATTTTATTTTGGCCAAATATAATATCGTTCCCCAAAATTTTCTGAGTAGTTAGGGTGCCTACGTACCTTAACGAGGAATAGTCTCATCTTGATTGCTCAACAGCTCTATTTCACGTCGGTCTATGCCCACAAAGATTTACTCTTATGCGGTACCACGTGGAAAATCAAGTAAGGCTATACCGCTCGGGAACGGCTTGCTAAAGTACTCTGAGACAAGTAGACTGGTAGACGTACACACACGTGTATGCAAATACCCCTATGGTGACGCATTTCTGTTAAAGATATGTGGCTAGCTCAGGCACAGTATTTTAGCGGCACATTATCCTTAATTATCTGAGAACACACTATCATTTTATGTACATACTGTGTGCTTTGTGTCAACTGCAGGTAGCATGTAATTTGTTTTGTTCTTGATTTACAATATGACAGAACTGAGTGAATTACATGATACTAGAGAAAAAATATCCTCAAGCATTCACACAGTGTGCCGCGCACACTGCTCGGATAGTTAAGTATAATGTTGGCGTCAGTTAGTTTACATTCATCGCTTCTTATTCAATGACGCCAAGGGAGTTTTCTGTAACATAACGTGTTGCCCTTAAGCCCAAATATTTGCATAATAAAAATAATTATTTTATCATGTTTTATATTTTTTCAGTACTTCAACAATATCAGACTGGGTATCTGAAATACTTCCTGCTGGACGTTTACAGGCTTTATATCAACAATAACTACTTTTGTAATTATGGTATAGTGTCTGTGATCGTTCTTATAAGAGTGGTCGTTAATAGCTATCAATTATCTGCGGTCAAGGTTTATTTATATTTAGCTATATATCTCTAATCATTGTTCACGCTAGTAATTCTCTTATCAATTGGTCTATTAAGGTCAACGCATTGAGGTTTTATTAGTTAATTGGCTTTGGTCTGCTGTGTCGGTACTTACTTAGATCATACGCTTGATGTGTATTTTATTATGTTTGAAACATGTTATATAAATTAGAAATTTTTAATTGATGTTTATATTAGTGTTTCATGTTCTGTCCGACTCGGCTTCTGTCAAAAATCCATTATTTATTTAGGTGGACGATACACATTTTATTACTAGATTTATGATGTCTGTGGTCGAGACGGCAATGTTTTCTTAACCGTCTCATGAACTTGGTGCACGTGTTAATTTTCAATCTTTGTCAGGATTATTCAGTCAGTTGCATTAATTAGCTAGTAGCAGTAGCAGTGCAAAAAATTCAAATCTTATAGTAATTTGAAGTTATTAATATTTTCATAATAACATTCACGGTACCAATTTTACTGCACCAGTAAACTTCAACCTATTTTGAGATTTTTGTTTGTTTCACAATTCAACTTTTAGTCAGTTTCAATCACTCTGTGATAAATCCTTTCAATCTGATAAATGTGCTTCGGGGCAGTTGTAACTCATTTATAGAAACTCATTGTTTTGAACTGTAAATAGACCCAAATAATAGGATAATCCCTTACTAAGAACATGATTCACATTCATTCTTCACAATTAAGAGGCATCCAATCCTACAATTTCATTGGTCGAGAGTACTTTGCTATATTCTAAATGATAAGTACTCGCTAACGCTCGTACTAATTCATGAAGAAAGGGATTATCATTCTCTTACATATACTTAGACGAAACTAATCATACTATTTGTTTGGGTGATCTAAATAAAAATTTCCTTCTCAACCTACCTAACTGTATCAGTGATATACTAAGTATAAATGGTCTATTTAATACAATTAACGATGCTACTCATTTTGATTCACGAACTGGTTCGTTGTCCTTATTAGAACCAATATTAATAACTGATTCCATTCAATTTATTGACTCGGGTATTATACCTATCAATAGAGACATAAGTGATCATGAAGGTACTTACATAACAGTCAGAAGCGGGTTCAGTAACTCGAAGAGTTTCAAACGTACAATATGGGACTATAAAAGGGGGGATTATAATTTAATGAAACAGATGGTTTCAGAGGTCGAATGGAATAAATTACTGGATAATGATATTAACATCCATGAATCTTGCAATATATATATTTGCACGAATTTTTAAAAGTGACTGAATCTTGCATTCCGAAAAAAGAAGTAATTATTCGATCTAATGATAAAATCTGGTTTAATTCAAATCTCCGTAAAGAAATAAGATCAAAGCGCAAAAGCGCTGTAAAGGCAGCTAATTGCAGGTTGTGTGCATTTTTAGTCCAGTTATATCATTATCATTACAGTGTACTTATCAGAGGTGGCTTAATATTTAAGATTTAGAGTTCTCTAATGATATTGAACAGGTTTTATAAATGTCATATTCTGAGCACTATATGAAGGCGATTGTTCTCACTTGTTTATGAACTAGTGCATTATGTCCAGTTTGTACCTTTTTTATCTATGTTTATAGTCAAATACTGTTTAAAATAGTTAGGCATTTTCTTTTTAGTAATAAGTAAATGTTATCAACTGTATTTTATTCAACTTTGCAAATGTGGTTTGTTACTGGTATGTATGGATGATAGTTGTTTCATTGGCAATCATAACACATCTCCTTATTTATATAATGATCTATATTCAACGACTTCAGGTACAAAAAAAAAATGTATGTAACTAAACTATGATGGGTAACCTTTGACTTCTTTCTTTTATATAAACTTTTGATTTGGTACCATAGTACTATGTAGAATAAATGTACATTGCAACATGTCAACTCTTTCAATGACAATACTTTTTTTAGAAACTATAACTCCAAGCAAAATTATATTTCCAAGTATAAAGTAATTTATTAATGAAACAAGAGGCTCTCAAGAGCCTGAATCGCTAACCTGTATTTCAGAGGAGAAGATTTTTAAATGTTAGCAAACTTGATGAACAAATTGTGTAAAATTGTCTTTAAATGGCAATAACTCCTTAAGGGGTCAATTGACAATTATGGTTTTACTAACTTTTTTGTAGATCTTACTTTGCTGAACATTATTGCTGTTTACAGTTTATATCTATCTATAATAATATTCAAGATAACAAAAAACTGCAAAATTTCCTTAAAACAACCAATTTAGTGGCAGAAACCCAACAATGGGTTGTTCGATTCGTCTGAAAATTTCAGGGCTGATCGATCTTGACCAATTGAACAATTTTACCCCATGTCGGATTTGCTCTAAAAGCTTTAGTTTTTAAGATATAAGCCAACAACTGCTTTTGACCCCTATGTTCTATTTTTAGCCATGGTGGCCATGTTTGTCGATTGATCAAAACTTCGGATACAATTTATAAACTAGATACCCTAAGTAACATTTAGTTAAAGTTTGAAGGTATTTGGCCCAGTAGTTTCAGAGGAGAAGATTTTTGAAATAGTTTACGACGACAGATGACGACGACAGACGACGACGGACGCCAAGTGTTGGCATAAGCTCACATGGGGCCCTTTGGGCCCCGGTGAGCTAAAAAGGAGTTCTTAATTAAGAAATAAACTGATTCACTGAGCGCAGCTGGATACACCCGCAGAGGTCCAACCCTGAACAGTTGGGGCAAAAATGGACACAATATTCAAGCTTGATACAGGTCTGAATTTGGATTGTGATAAAATATTTGACATATTATAGTTTCTGAATAAATGTAGTCAAAGAACTTGAAATCGGTTATATGAATTGAATTTATATTTAATTAAAGATTTCTTGCTGTTGTGCAATACACTGTGCTGTTGCGCAATACTTAATAAATCTGTTGCCAGACTATAAACAAATAAAGTTCAATTACTTCTCAATGTCATATTTGAAATTTATGAAAATTAATAGGGAGATTACATCAATAGCTATAAATAATTCACCAAAGTTTCATGCGAACTGCTTAAAGCATTTATGAGTTGTTGTCCAAAAACTGGAAAATCCCCCTTTTTTAATGAATAAAACCCTAAAACTCAGAAATGTAAAATCTAAAATTTATAAAATTCTAAAGGGAGCTTACGGATTGATAATTTAGTCTTAGATGCAAGATTTTTTTATCAGTTGTTAGTGGCTTTGAACTAGCTGTCAGTAACTGCGAGTACTCTCAGATCTGTACTTAGTGTCTTTTTGTTGTTTGGATGTACAACTACCCGGCCACGTCCACTTGTATTTGTATTTATCCATCTGATGAGTTAAGCCTCTTTCAACTGATTTTTATAGTTCGTTCTTATATTGTACTGTTACACCACTGTCCCAGGTTAGGGGGAGGGTTGGGATCCCTCTAACATGTTTAACCCCGCCACATTCTGTATGTACATATATGTGCCTGTCCCAAGTCAGGAGCCTTTCATTCAGTGTTTGTCGTTTGTTTATGTGTTGCATATTTGTTATTCGTTCATTTTTTGTACATAAAATAGGCCGTTAGTTTTCTTGTTTGAATTGTTTTACATTGTCATTTCGGGGCCTTTTATAGCTGACTGTGCGGTATGGGCTTTGCTCATTGTTGAAGGCCATACTGTGACCTATAGCTGTTAATTTCTGTGTCATTTGGTCTCTTGTGGAGAGTTGTCTCATTGACAATCATACCACATCTTCTTTTTTATATTTACATCAACAGATATAAACAATTCACCAAAGTCAAGGTGAGACAACAAAACTTAGTTGTAAGATCTCTGAAATTTTTTACACGGTACGAATTTTTCTCATTGTTGGAGATTGTACGGTGACAGTAACACCTGTAACTGCTTAAACCAATTTCTTATGCACTTTGGTTCGATAAACTCGCTGAATTATCAATATCATACCACATCTCCTTATTTTTATATGCATTACAATTTACATGTGCATGTAATTGTACATGTAAATATATATATATCAGAACAAAATTCATTGCGTCACTTTTATTTATGCATCCTTTGGCACAATACAAGTCCTAAAATTACACAACATAATACAATCAAATGTTATTTCAGATGAAAGTTTTGTTTCAGTTACATTCATAGGATTTATTAGAATTTTGTATGTTTTGCCAAGTCCAATAATTCGCTCTATGTGCACGTGTTAATTGGAGACTTTTCAATCCCGTATAAGAGTTTTGGAACTAATTCTGTTTCTTTTTTTGAAAAAAGTTAGCAAACAAATCTTGCACATTTAAACCTTCGTCTGCCATCACACTGTCACCTGGATCACATAATTGAACTATTCTACATCTTTCAACTATTTCACAGTCACTGGTACAACCAACATATGCATTAGAGACATAGTTGACTAAACCACCAGGTGTCGAACATACTAGTATTTTCAGTGTTTTTGTTTTTATATGATGAAAAGGTTGCCTGAGCTCTAGGAGCTTTAGGTTTTATCACGGGATATTCTGTGCTGTCAATAATAATCCAAGTTGTAGGAAACTTTAATTTGAAGTTGGATGGCGAATAATAACTGACTAAACCACTAGATGGCCAAGTGTTAGCCTCACACCACTCTTTAGACATAAAAACAATCCATGTATACACAATATTCTTAACACTAGATTCCATCTAGAATCTAGACAGTTCAAAGTTGGTTGTATAATGCCTCAATTTCATCAAAGTCATAAAAAAACTGATTTTCAACTGACACCCTATCAAGTTGAAAATATATGTATCTCAAACAATGTGCTGCTGGACCAAGTGTGGTCAAAAAAAATAAAAATTTAGTATACAACTCTAAACCGGTATAAAAATGCATGGCTGTGTCACGTGTCTTCATTTCAAAATTCTCTGCTGAAAACATAGGCATTGATGGTGTTTGCGTAATTCCATCTGTGAAGCTCAACATAAGTTCGACAGTTGGTGGTGGACAGTCATAAATCCTTTCTGCAGTATGAATGACTTCTTCAGGAAAACCAACTTTACAATCAAAACTTTCCTCTAGATTTCTACTACAATATTTATCAAGTTTAGTTCTTTTGTTTTCACAGGAAACTGCCCTGATTTTTCTTTTTGCGGACGGTTCAGTCTCTTGCTTGGTTCAGGAAAATAGGCTGGGAATGGCAGTAGACTTAAGTCTCTGTATGGTGGGTTTGCGCCCTGAAAAAGGTTATAAAACATTAGTTTTTTGATAATTAAATGAACTTTCATTAGCAATGTACACTTTGTACTACCTGGCAAAATATTAACTAGATTTATTCATTACAATCTGGATAAAACTATGTTTGCCTGATTCAATGTATGTTATGTAAATCCAAAGGACACACAATGAGAGACTTATGCAACAATCTTACATTGTTTGTACCTAAATAACTATAATATAGATGAGAGCATGTCATTATTTTGTTCCTGTTAACATTGTCATTGATATTTTTCAAGAAAGTCTATGAGGCATAGCTTATGCATTCCTGTCATTACTACATTAGCATAATTACTGCTAAAATAATTCTCAGTATGATATACCTCTTGTAAGAAATCATTATAATTGTAGCATCACCAAAAAATCTCAAACAGATCACATTGAATCGTAATCCAAAAAATTATGACGTCTTGAATTAACCACCCCCTTTTATTCTAAAACGATAATTGCGGTTGTAAACAGACTGGTTTATTCGCATGGCGATTACATATATAACTATATATTTCAAAAAGAAAATAGAGTTTTACCATGAATAGTTTCCTGCACGTAGTCTTTTTCAGTAAAATGTGCCTTGCAAACAACAGCTGATTGAGATGGACTCCACGATTTCATCGTGTTCTCGTCCAATCTGCGTATGGGCCATGGCGTTGATCCAACTTTTCCTTCTTTTTAAGTCATTTGCAAATGCATGTCCTCCTCTTAAATGACATCTAGGTACACAACAACAAGTACTTGGCATCGTTAATTAAAAATGTTACTGTAATAGTTGCACAGTGCAGAAACCGGAAGTTGAGGAACAGGATCGGCTACCACGGCGCCACCTATTCAGGAACGATAATTTGCTACTTTATGTAACTGCGAAATAACAATAACGTTAGACGGGTTCACGTGCATAAACAGAAATGCGCATTAAATTGTATAATATAATTCATGTTCAGTCGACCTTTAATTATTATATCAACGACTGAAATGATTTATAAACATCTAGATTGCAGATAACACTCGAAATTAACCCGACCTCTTTCCACACGGAATTCAAATAATTCTAGTTTGTCAATCAGTTGACTGCTTATAATGCAAAATACAAATATATCAAACGTTTTTAAAACTAACAAAACACAATAATCGTTTCTCAAAAAACATTTTATATCACAATAAGAAGAGGAGAGAATTCAACATTTCCGGATCTACTTGGAGCCTAATGACCCCCCACATAGATAAGTTGGATATCGCGGAAGGAAAGATTAACCCGGCAACCAGAAAGGCATTAAAGCACTGCCTTTAAAACCGAGACAGGTTTCGGAAAATATTTAAAAAAAATAAAAGCACTACAAACGAAAAGAAATTTAAAAACCAAAGGAATCGAGTGAATAATTTGAAGAAACAAATTAAACAAAATTTTTATGAAAATATTAATGAAAACTTAAATGAACTCAAGCAAACAAATAGTAGAGTATATTGGAAAATAATAAACTCCTTATTAAAAGAAGACAGATCTTCAAATGATATTCCACCGATGCAAAACCCTAGTAATAATTTTGAATTTTCTTATGATGCAAAAGAAAAAGTTGATATTCTAAATAGATATTTTTGTTCAATAGCTAGTCTAGATGAAGAAAACAAAAATTTGCCTGACTTCGATGATAGAGGTATTAACGTTTTGTCAGAAATTACTGTAACTTTAGAAGACGTTAAAGATATTATTTCTACTTTACATCCAAATAAAGCTATTGGTCCAGACAAAATCAGTAATAGAATGCTTATAACAGTAAAAAATGAAATTGCACTTCCCTTATGTATTCTTTTTAATAAATCGCTCTCTCAAAATATATTTCCTAAAGATTGGAAATTGGCATATGTTATTCTTTTATTTAATAATGGAGATAAGTCAATGCCGCCTAATTATAGACCAGTATCACTTCTTTCTTGCGTGAGCAAGGTACTTGAAAAAATAATATATAAACATATGTTCAATCATCTAGTTTCTAATGAACTTTTGCAAAAATTCCTAAATTATGCACCTATATTTAACTTTTACAGGCCATAGAAAAAGAGGTAAAGAATTTAAATATACCAATTTTGTCATCTATCCTTCTCTTATAAAGAGTGCCATTTCTTTTGTTTAAATTCAGCTTGATATCAGTCTTCAATTGACATAAATTAAATCAGAATTAGTCAACTCTTAATTATAGAAATAATAATATAAACATTTCGCATATTTGGTTTGTTTACATCTGTTTTTATGTATACTTTAAGATTTC